TATTCTATTCTATTCTATTCTATTCTATTCTATTCTATTCTATTCTAAATTCTACCTACTTACCTATCATTACATTCTATCATTCTGTCTCTCTGTATTATCATTCTCTCTCTCTCTCTCCCTCTCTCTCTCTCTAACACACATCCTTTCCCTCTTACTAACTCTAACTCTGTCTCCCTATCATTTACATGCTATCATCCTGTCTCTGTCTTATACACATACACCCTCCAACTCTAACTCGACCTACCTACCTACCTTCCTATCATCTACATTCTATCATTCTCTCTCTCTCTCTCTCTCTCTCTCTCTCTCTCTCACACACACACACACACACACACACACACACACACACACACTTTATTTCTCTCTCTCTCTCTCTCTCCCTCCCTCCCTACCTATCATCTACCTATCTCTCTGTAGCTCCCTACATCTTCACTATTGGTCTGGAGAGATCATGATAAGCAGAGCAGATTGCAGTGATCAGACCTATAGTGCCCCTGTGTGGTGGTTTATAAGAACTGTTCTCATAACTCATGGATGTGTGGATGCAAGTGCAAGCAACCTGGTTCACACGTGTACATTTCAAGCTAACTACATTAATTGTATCCTGCCTAAAATTTCGTATTTTGCTCGGGCTGCTTGCTTTCTCTTTGGAACAAACAGATACGGTCTCATGGACCTCGGGAAGTGTGGGAGGTGGAGGTGTCAGCCCTAAGTCTCTTGCATCTGTTCAAGAACTCAAGGTCAGTTCTCCACTTGAACCCTCCTCCTTGCCTGGCTGGAAGCTCCCTACAATAGATCAAATAAAATCCATCCTGTTGAACTGTTCGTTTTGGGGGTTGGGCTGCAACAGTTTATGGAAAGGACCTTGAGAAGCAGGAAGAGCTACAGACTGGACAACAAGACAAAGATATCTCAGCCCACAAAAGTGGGTGGGTGGGTGGTGGGACACATTTCAAAAGAGGCTTTCTGAAGAGTAAAAGTGAAGGAGGGGGGAGGAGTAGCAGTGGCACCTGGAGTTGCCGTGTATGTTTATGTCAAAAAAATGCAGACAGATTTCATGACTGCACAATTGAAGACCCACTCTTTTTTTCCCCCAAACTCACTCACTCTTTCTTTCTTTCTTTCTTTCTTTCTTTCTTTCTTTCTTTCTTTCTTTCTTTCTTTCTTTCTTTCTTTCTTTCTTTCCTTCTTTCTTTCTTTCCTTCTTTCTTTCTTTCTTTCTTTTCTTCCTTCCTCTCTCTGTCTCTGTCTCTCTCTCTCTCACTCACTCATGAAGAAATCTGGAGGGTGTATTTGCCCCCTCTTTATCTCAATCTATGTTGTCCAACATCGTAAGTACAGTAACACAACCTTTTGACTTTTTTAGAACATGGCCCTTGATGTACCATAGCCAGTGTTGGTATGGTACATCAAATTTATGCTGGCAAAAGTTGTACACTCCTCTTTTAAATAATTAGGAACCAGAAAGCCCATATGGCCATCTTGTAAAATGGATAGGTCAATTCCAATTGCCTATTACTCTACAGATTTCTAAGGAGATTTAATACAATCTTGTCTATCTGGCTGGTATCTAGTCCTTATCAGCGTCTGATGCCCAGGGCAGCTTTAGAAGTTAAATCATCAAACTACTTCAGAAATACAATGTATTTGTAAATTGTAAAGAACCTTTAGAACTAGACCGTGTGTGTGTGTGTGTGTGTGTGTAGAATAGAATAGAATAGAATAGAATAGAATAGAATAGAATAGAATAGAATAGAATAGAATAGAATAGAATAACAGAGTTGGAAGGGACTTTGAAGGTCTTCTAGTCCAACCCCTTGCCTAGGCAGGAAACCCTACACCACTTCAGACAAATGGTTGTCCAATCTCTTCTTAAAAACTTCCAGATTTGGAGCATTCACAACTTCTGGAGGAAAGTTGTTCCACTGATTAATTGTTCTAACTGTCAGGAAATTTCTCCTTAGTTCTAGGTTGCTTCTCTCCTTGATCAGTTTCCACCTATTGCTTCTTGTCCTGCCCTCAGTTGCTTTGGAGAATAGCTTGAGTCCCTCTTCTTTGTGGTAGCCCCTATATATATATAGTACTCTGCCATTGTGCATATGGAAATTTTATATATAACAATGGAAATTGCACAATAAAAAATTGAAAAAAAGAAATACAGCTTTGAGTCACTCTTACGTCAGTGAAAGGAAGTCAGTAAAAACAACGAATGCCTAACTAGATGGTCCAGCTCTTAAGATCAGTATTTAAGGCACTTAGCAGTCAGAATCTTTTGAATGGTGCATACCCTAGTTGATGATGGTATCAGTATCTTAAGAAGTCTAAGAGATTCTGACTGTGCATTTTATTAATAGGTCTCTTAAAAGCAAATCTGAGTTATCATAACACAATAAGCTTCAAAGTAGGAATCCTAGGTGACAGAAAAATGAAAATTATGTTGTAATCTTGGAGTAAGATGTCAGTTTAAATTTATACTGATAGCTTTTGTCCTATAAAGGAAAATTGTAAGTCATCTTTCATGTTTCTTTTTTCTTTCTTTTTCTTCACTTCTGGTTCTCTATTTCTTTACTTTTCTCATCTTAATTATTAGTTTATTTAGTTCTATTTGTTTTTATTTTCTTGTTAAAATCTAATGGAAATATCATTTAAAAAATTTCAGAGTGGAAATCTTGTCTAAAAAGCATTGCTCACAATTCTTCATTTTTGTTTGGTTAGGCTGGAAAATAATAAATTACTGAATCTGTAAGGAATGTCAATTTAGGAAAGGATGCAGAGGTTTTGAAAGAGGTCAGGTGTCTGCCAGGTAGTACCTCCAGGAGAAATAAAAGGTATGTTTTTAAGATAGTCAAGAATGCCAGTCAGGACAGTAATGTTGATGCTGTTGTGTATCTTGGCACGAATGACTTGTCCCCAAAAGATGTACTCTCTGTATAGAATTATTTCCAGAGCTTGGATCAGGAACTTAGGATAGGCTGTAGGTTTACCTTTTCAGAGGTTTTACCTGTATATAAGGAACAAGAAGGAAAAGGCCAGCATATAGCAGAGTTCATTGTGTGGCGAAAGGACTGGTGCAAAGGGGAAGTCTTTGGTTATATTAGTTATGATATCTGCAGCTGGTCCAATGAAAAACTGTAAAAAAAAGAGATGGTTTGCATCCATCAAAGAAAGGGACTTGGCACTAAATTCACAGATTTTCTGGGAAAACATTTAAGCCAAACAACAGGGATAGAGAGTTAATTGATACAGAACATTTCTGTCCCCAGCAATCTAAAACAGGGTTATCAATGTATGTACTATAACATAAAGATTTTTGCAGGTAAGAATATCAACCTTGCTGTCAAGCAAAATCAAGATTTTAATAGTGAGTACTATACCATAGAGGGATGTGGTGGCTCAGTGGCCAAGACGCTGACCTTATGGATCAGAAAGGTAGGCAGTTCAGCAATTGGAATCCCTAGCTGTGCATAACAGAGTGAGCTCCCATTACTTGTCCCAGCTTCTGCCAACCTAACAGTCTGAAAGCATGTAAAAATGCAAATATAAAAACATAGGGACCACTTTGGTAGGAAGGTAACAGTGGTCCATGTGCCTTCGGCATTTAGTCATGACCATGGAGACGTCTTTGGACAGCGCTGGCGCTTCAACTTGGTAACAGAGAAGAGCACCGCCCCCTAGAGCCAGAAATGACTAGCATGTATGTGTGAGGGAACCTTTACCTTTTTACCGCTTAAGCACTAACAAAACAGGTGTAAGGAAATAGGGGAAGTCAGGCACAACACAGGTTATGTAGAAAGCAAACACAGGATCAGTCACAAAGGACTCAATTACACCAACATACAGAGTATGAGGAATAAACAGAGTGAATTAGAAATTTGAGTAAATGAGGGCAGATATATTGTTGCCATTATGGAAACTTGGTGGGATGAAACCCACAAATGGAACATACAACTACAGGGATTTAAATTATTTAAAAGAAACAGACCAAACAAAAGAAGGTAGAGCTCAAACTGCACAAAGAACTGCTGATTAAGTTCTATAGAGGAATTATATCTAAACTTCTATAACTGTCTGGTTTAGCTCTGCAACCCAACAAGACAAACACAGACTTCGGAGGATAATTAGGACTGCAGAAAAAACAATTACTACCCACCTGCCTTCCACTGAGGACCTGTATACTGCACGAGTCAAAAAGAGGGCTGTGAAAATATCTACAGACCCCTCACATCCTGGACATAAATTATTTCAACTTCTACCCTCAAAATTGACAGTATAGGGCACTGCACACCAGAAGAACTAGACACAAGGACAGTTTTTTCCTGAATGCCATTACTCTGCTAAACAACTAATTCCCACAACACTATCAAATTATTTACTAAGACTGTATTACTATTATTCTTCTCATTCTTCCTACTACCTATCTCTTCTCACTTATGACTATAGCCATGCTGCTTGTATCTTTACAATTTATATTGTTTTATTTGTTTCCTAGTAAGATATGAGTTGCTCTCTGGCAAATTGAAAGAAAAACAGGACAAGTACAAAAAATGGAAAGAAGGACATACAACTAAGGCAGAATATCAACAGATAGCCAGAATCTGCAAAGACGAAGTCAGGATAGCAAAGGCTCAGAACGAACAAAGACTTGCAACAAAAGTCAAAGATAATAAAAAAAGGTTTCTTCCAACATATAAATAACAAGAAAAAAAATCAAGGAAACAGTCGGTCCACTAAAGAGAGAAGATGGCAAGGAAGTAACAGGCAACAGAGAGAACGTAGAAATGCTTAACTCCTTCTTTGCATCCGTCTTCATGCAAAAAGAAACTATAGCTCAACCCACCAAAAACCTAACTGTAACCAGAAATAGACCAGAAATAAAAGTTAAAATAAGCAAAAAAATATTAAGAGAACACCTGTCTGATCTTGATGAAAACAAATCACTGTGGCCTGATGGATTACATCCCAGAGTTTTAAGGAGCTGGCAGAGGTCATCTCAGAACCATTGCACCATATCTTTCAAAAATCCTGGAGCATCGGGGAATTACCAGAGGATTGGAAAAGAGCTGATGTGGTTCCCATCTTCAAAAACGAGAAAAAAAACAGACCCAGGAAACTACAGACCCATCAGCCTAACATCAATACCCGGGAAGATACTGGAAAAGATAATAAAAAAACAGATCTGCCAACATCTAGAAAGAGGTAAAGTAATAACTAGCAGTCAGCAGGGGTTTGTTAAAAACAGATCATGCCAAACCAATCTTATTTCATTCTTCAACACAGTGACTAAATTAGTAGACCAGCAAAATACTGTGGACATAATATATTTAGATTTCAGCAAGGCATTCAACAAAGTAGACCACAACCTACTTCTTAGTAAGCTAGAAAAAGGTGGAATAGATAGCACCATCACTAGTTGGACTCGCAACTGGCTGACAAACTGTACTCAATGAGTAGTCTTTAATGGGTCTAAGTCTACATGGAGGGAAGTAAGCAGTGGGGTGCCACAAGGATCGGTCTTAGGCTCAGTACTCTTCAATATCTTCATTAACGACTTAGATGAGGGAATAGAAGGGGAACTTACCAAATTTGCAGATAATACTAAGCTGGCAGGAATAGCTAATACCCAAGAAGATAGGCTCAAGATCCAGATGGATCTTGACAGACTAGAAAACTGGGCCATATCTAACAAAATGAAATTCAGTGTAGAGAAAAGTAAAGTCCTACACTTAGTCAAGAAAAACCAAAAGTACACATATAGACTGGGTGAAACCAGGCTCAATAGCAGTAACCGTCAGAGGGATATTGGAGTCTTAGTGGACAACCAGCTAAATATGAGCCAGCAGTGTGCAGCAGCAGCCAAAAAAGCTAATGCAATCCTAAATTGTATTAACAGAGCGATACAGTCAAGATCAAGGGAAGTACTAATACCACTCTATAAAGCCTTAGTAAGACCACACCTAGAGTACTGCATCCAGTTTTGGTCACCACATTATAAAAAAGATGTTGAGATTCTAAAAAAAGTACAGAGAAAAGCAACCAGGATGATTAGGCGACTGGAGGCTAAAACATACAACTAACGGTTGCACAAACTGGGCTTGGTTAGTCTAGTAAAGAGAAGGACCAGGGGAGACATGATAGCGGTCTTCCAATATTTGAGGGGCTGCCACAGAGAGGAAGGGGTCAAGCTATTTTCTAAAGTGCCTGTAGGCCAGACAAGGAATAATAGATGGAAACTGAACAAGGAGAGATTTAACCTGGAAACAAGGAGAAACTTTCTGACAGTGAGAACAATCAGCCAATGGAACAGCTTGCCCTCGGAAGTTGTGGGAGTGCCATCACCTGAGACTTTCAAGGAGAGATTGGACTGCCCTTTGTCAGAAATTGTGTAGGGTCACCCGCTTGGGCAGGGGGTTGGACTAGATGACCTACAAGGTCCCTTCTAACTCTGATTATCTGTTATCTGTTATGATTCTTGATGGAAGGTTTTTATTTTTTCTTTATTTACACTGAGAGCATATGCACCAAAGACAGATTCCTTGTGTGTCTAATCACACTTGGCCAATAAATAATTCTATTCTATTCTATTCTATTCTATTCTATTCTGTTCTGTTCTGTTCTGTTCTGTTCTGTTCTATTCTATTCTATTCTATTCTATTTATTATGTATAAGAAATAACTACATCTCTACAGAATTAGAGCACAAGAATGATGAAAACTGTTTTGAATGCATTTGGGGCAATATAAAAAGGGGGGAAATTGCTTTGCCATAGGCATATTCAGAGGAAACAGAGGAAATAGATGAACTTTTTGCTAGTCCATTAACTAAGCTGTCAGGAATAGCCAACACTCAAGAAGAAGGTTTAAGATACAGAAGGATCTTGACAGGCTTGAATATTGGGCACTACCTAACAAAATGAAATTCAATGATGAAACAAGTAAGGTTCTACATTTAGGCAAGAAAAACTAAATGCACTGGTATAGAATAGGTGGAACCTGGTTTGATAGTAGTAACTATGAGAGGGATCTTGGAGTCCTATTGGACAATCACTTAAATACGAGCCTGCAGCTGCTAAAAGAGCCAATACAGTTCGAGACTTTTAAACCTGAAGTGTTAATACTACTTCATAATGCCTTGGTAATATCACACTTGGATATTGCATCCAGTTTTGGTCACCACAGTGAAAAAAAGATGTTGAGACTCTAAAACAGGGCTGTCAAACTCATGGCGCGTTGGCCACGCCCACACCCAATTTATCGAAGGAGGGGAAGTCCCAATATGTCACATAATACTGCTGTGATGATGTGAGTTTGACACATCCGCTCTAGAAAGAGCGCAGAGAAGAGCAACAAAGATGATTAGGGGACTGGAGGCTAAAACATATGAAGAACGGTTGCAGGAACTGGATATGTCTAGTCTAATGAAAAGAAGGACTAGGGGAGACATGATAGCAGTGTTCCAATATTTCAGGGGCTGCCACAAAGAAGAAGGAGTCCAGCTATTCTCCAAAGCACCAGAGGGCAGGACAAGAAGCAATGGGTGGAAACTAATCAAGGAGAGAAACAACCTATAAGTAAGAAGAAATTTCCTGACACTTAAAACAATTTACCAGTGGAACAATCTCCAGAAGGTGTGAATGCCCCAACATTGGAAGTTTTTAAAAAGATGTTGGATTACCATTTGTCTGAAGTGGTGTAGAGTTTTCTGCCTAGGCAAGGGGTTGGACTAGAAGACCTCCAAGGTCCCTTCCAACTCTGTTATTCTATTCTATTCTGCTGTTCATTCTTGCTACAATGACATAATTAATTTCTACATACATTCTGTGTCATTGCAAGCACTAACAGCTGAATTGCTGGGACTCATTGAAAGCTTCTAAAAGCTTCTAAAACTTATCTTTTGTTCATATTTCATCTTTCCCCCAAAATAAAAAAAAAAACATTGGCAGTACAAATACTTGCCACATATTTTGATTAATACCTGTACCAGAGGCCTGGAAAGAGATTCAAACTGCAAACGTTTTCTCAGCAATTATCAAGATGCTAGTTTTTTAAAAAAAAATTCAAACCAGGCTGTTGGGATTTTTAAAAAATTGCCTTTAACTTTGTGAATTGAGAAGATAAAGGGAAGGAGAATCCTCCTTTAAGATGTTTAAAGTATCCGCCACAAATATTTTGTTTAAGCATGATAGCTCCAATTAAAATACAAAAATTTCTGCTCTGAGGGAGAGATAAGAGGAATGTGAAATGGACCCACTAATTATGTATTTTTACAATAAAATACACAAAATATTTTATGACCACTGTTTAGTTATCTAACCATTGTTAAAAGAAAGTTGTTTCCATTTTATCTATGTACTTTGTCAAATATGTCTTATACGGGACAGGCTAAGAAATAGGGGTGCCTTCATTTTTGATAGCGTCAAGCGAGAGAAGCTTTCCATAGATATTATTTCTGCAATAAGTTTACATTCGTCCAATAATGCAAGTATTTTAGGGAGGATCGGGCTTTTTTTTTTTTTTTTTTTTTCAACTGGGACCAATTAGCAGAGCACATGAAAGAAGCAGGTGTTGGTGGGAACTTCTTATCCTCTAGTCTTCAGCCAACCAGAATCCATAGGGCGGTGAGAATAGAGATAAGAGGCCTCCCTTTGGTGCCAGAACTTCTTTTCCTCGGGAGATCCGACTGCGTGGCCGTAGAGAAGGATGGCACTATCAATGCAAATCCAAGGAGGAATCATTCTGACTTGGCTTCTCATTCTTTCGGCAGGGGTAAGGAATCAAAATGTTGAGGGAGAGGTGTTGGGTGGGGGTGTAGAAAGCATACATTTTGGGAGAAGCCTAGGGAAGGAATATTCCAAGCTATTGGTAGCTAGCTAGCTTTCTTTGCAAGGAAAAGTTAAAGCAACTGAGTTTAGAATTAAAATCAAACCACAGTGAGCTAGAAAGCAAGTTTTTGGAATGGGAAAGGCTCCTGTTGTGGCTCCCACCGTATTAAAACTGGGAGGAAAGAAATTGGCAGGAGGTTTGGGGAAGGTGAAACGAAATGGGTCTTCGTGTAGCAAGCAAAAAGTTGTGGAAGTTGTTGCTACAAGATATAGCAACAGTTGCTTTTCCAAAGGATTTGTAAAAAGTCAATTTAGAGCTACGAAGTTATCAAATAGATACCCCTCCTGAGAGAGAAACCAGTGGGGTGGGGTGAATTATCTGTAATGGGAAGCTCTTTGTGGACTTTTTGTAGAAAATGGAGAAAAATCAAATTTTGAAATAGGGATTTGATTGTTAAAATTTAAAAAGGGGGCAAATATTTCTCCTTTTCTTGTGGGGGGGAGGAAATTGGCATTTTATTATCGTCTTAAACAATAAGTAAGTTCTTTATATCCTTAGAGGAAGTCTAAAATATAAAAAAGTCTAGACTATAAAGAAAAAGAAAACACAAAGGTGTTTTCTTTAAACATTTTCACCTATCTATCCCCTATTTTCTTTCTACTTTTTATAATTTCTCAATTGTTTTAATGCATATGCTTTGTAAAATATAGTAAAATTACTAGACCCAGAGCTACAAAGCTATTCCGCCTCACTCTGCGCCCCCCCCCCCCCCGAGCAGCATCGACTGGGGAAAAAGCGTTGTAGGGGATGCTACGTCAAGCCAAGCTGCTTTTAGCAAAAAAGCTGGGAAAGTTTTGGTGAGGGAGAAAATAAGGGAAAAGCAACTAAAATAGAAAAGAGGAAAAGACGGGGTAAGCCCTGAGTAGTAGGACCAGGTCTCCTAGGAAAATAAACTTTGAAACATAGCTTAAAAACACCGTCTTTTCATTTCATCAGCACAACAGCAATTATCATTTCCAGAGCCAGAGCCTTTGAATGTTAGCTTGAATCTCAAAAGGATTCTGACCTCATGTTCTTCTCCTATAAAATTATTTAGTAAGAATAGGCTGCCACCTTCTGGTTGGAAAGCACTTTGCATGTAGGATAAAAGATACTTTTCCTGGCTAGTAGTAAAATTAAATTACTAAAACAAGCCCCAATATAACTCGTTGGCTACTGGCCTTCTATTTAATCCATTAGTTTGCTAGTGTAATTCTTTGATATGCACACAAACACACCAGGTCTGAATTTTGAGCTATAATTTGTCCTTGGTACATAAAATATGATGGAATATTTCCAACCAGATACCATTTTTTTCATTAATCATTTCCAATCAAGAATGTACATTTATCGATCAGGGCAAATATGTTATCGGGAGTTATGCTGAAAAATGTTCAGTGGGGTGGCAAACAATTGTTCTTGAATTCCTTTTCCAAAGGGGAAAAAAAATCCAGTAAAAATATGGTGCAGTTCCTCCATTTATCTTATCTTAGGTGGCTGAAGGTGAGTATTCCATTTTTGATTCTCCAAACATCCCTCCAGCAGCCTGTAGCTTCCTCGGCTTCCTGTATTCAATTTAATGCCAGAAGAGGGCAGCACTGTGCGGTCTTTTAAGGGAAGCTCAGAATATTATAATGAGGAATATTTAAAATGGCAACAACAGCATTAGAATAATAAAGGAAGCACCCTACGAATGGGATAGAAAACAGAAGCCTCTGTGGCAGGAGGAGAAACTGGGAGGACCAATTTCAGCGCAAATGCTCTTTTCTTTTCATTCACACTGCATCTCTGTTCCTTTCCAGGTTTCATCATACAGAAGTGAGTGCTGGAGCTTCCTGTAAGTTGCTGGTTATTTGGTTTGCTTTTCTCTTAGTTCAGATCAGTGAATGGATAAGCAAGCAAGCAAAACTGGGAAAAAAATAGCACAGTTAATTGCAAGAGGATTCCTAAATAAAATATATGTTGGGGATGCAAAATGTGGTCTTCAGGTTAGACTGTTTTAGAACTCTTATGTTGGATCCATCTCCCACCTGCCAGACATGTGCACTTTGGGTGCATTGCAGCTGACCCATAACTGTCTGAAGCACCTCAGTTACGTGACCCTATTTTACATGGCAAAACCACCCCATAACAAACTGGGTTTGCTTAACAATTGTGGTGTTTGCTTCATGACTACTGTGTTCACTTAAGGACTGCTGCAAAACAAATGTAAACCAGGTCCAATCGCAGAGTAACCCACTTTACAACTATCGGGCTCAATTGTCAGGCTCAATTACAGTCATAAGTTGAGGACAAGCTGCATTTTTTTTATTCTATTCCTCAATTCTCTGGTTTGATCTGCTCCATTCCCAGAAATGTTTATCCTAATGTGGGAAATTTCTGACCTTGGTTGATTAGCTCTCTTCCTTTTTCACAGTGACACTGATAATTGTTTTCTATGGCAATCCTAGCAGGGTTTTCAGAACTGTGGTGTCAGAACCTCTGAAAACCCATTGACTCTGCTGGCTAAAGATTATGGGAATTGAATTTCAGTTCATCTAGACCAGTGTTTCTCAAGCTTGGACATTTTAAAATGTGTGGACTTCAACTCCCAGAATTCCCCAGCCAGCCATTCGATACGTTGGCTAGGGAAATCTGGAAGTTGAAGTCCACACATATTAAACTTGCCAAGTTTGAGAAACACTAATATAGACACTGGGGATCAGACTAGCAAAAGCTGCTCTGCACTAGTAATGAAGCCATGATGGAAGACATTTGTTATAAACCTTTTATTTCTTCTTTCCTAAGGTGTGTTACTGATTCCAGCCTCAACTGCATCTGTAAACCAGAAGTGCCCAATTGGCTTGTGTACGTAAAGGTCAAGTTAAAGAGTAACCTTTTCTGTGAGCATCTCTTGTGTAGAGATGTGTGTGCCTGTGAACTGAATTTGATGGGATAAATGAAACAGATAATCAGAGTTGGAAGGGACCTTGTAGGTCATCTAGTCCAACCCCCTGTACAAGCGGGAGACTCTACACCATTTCTGACAAATGGCAGTCCAATCTCTTTTTGAAAGTCTCAAGTGATGGCGCTCCCACAATTTCCGAGGGCAAGGTGTTCCATTGGTTGATTGTTCTCACTGTCAGAAAGTTTCTCCTTGTTTCCAGGTTAAATCTCTCCTTGTTCAGTTTCCATCCATTATTCCTTGTCTGACTTACAGGCGCTTTAGATAATAGCTTGACCCCTTCCTCCCTGTGGCAGCCCCTCAAATATTGGAAGACCCCTATCATGTCTCCCCTGGTCCTTCTCTTTAACTAGACTAGCCAAGCCCAGTTCCTGCAACCGTTATTTGTATGTTTTAGCCTCCAGTCACTTAATCATCCTGGTTGTTCTTCTCTGTACTTTTTCTAGAGTTTCAACATCTTTTTTATAATGTGGTGACCAAAACTGGATGCAGTACTCTAGGTGTGGTCTTACTAAGGCTTTATAGAGTGGTATTAGTACTTCCCTTGATCTTGACTGTATCGCTCTGTTAATACAACTTAGGATTGCATTAACTTTTTTGGCTGCTGCTATACACTGCTGGCTCATATTTAGTTGGTTGTCCACTAAGACTCCAATATCCCTCTGACAGTTACTGCTATTGAGTCTGGTTTCACCCAGTCTATATGTGTACTTTTGGTTTTTCTTGGAGGATCTCTCTTGTGTCAGAACACTATATATCTTTTTGTAAGACTACCAACTTTTTTAAGACTGCCAATTTTACAAAAAGGCTTGCAATATAACACATGACTTTTATATTGGCATAAAATTTTGATAAACTGAGAACTGCCTTAATATTAGCCCTCTTTATAAAAAGTCGAATTAAAAACTTAGCTCAAAGGTAGTATATTTGATTAAACTGGTGGTGATTGTTGGGAGCCATGTACAATTATTATATGAATAGATAGATAGATAGATAGATAGATAGATAGATAGATAGATAGATA